GGCATTTTGAGTTTCTGCTAGTGATTTCTATGGAGAGAAATCACTTCCTGCCCTCCAGCTGCATTTCGCGCGTCATCAGAATCACGTGATTGCAAACAACCTATTCCGCCCCCGACTGCAAGCGGCTGCTCTCGCCGATCGGTCTGCGCAGCGCTGCATGAAGTCGAACACGCCTATTGGGGCCCTTTATTTAGTAACGAGGCGTTAAACGTCGGCGATAATCGCGCGTGATATTCGTCCCGGTGTGCACAAGCCTTAATGTTATGATTGAGTAATTTGAATCCTTTTACTTGAAAGGATTTGATTTATTTAGAAACGAAATGGGCTACCAAAATCCTGTCTCTGAAGTGACTGTCTTTATGAGTTAGTTATTGAATTATTCACTCAAGCAATTCGTTTAAGTACCTTCATTCAGGGAAGAAAAATCATAGTGTTGCTCAGAGATGATTGCAATGGTTGATTTGGAACTATTTTTTTGACAGAGCAAAAATTGACAAAACGGTCTAAAATTTAAGTTACTCAATATTAACCACTTACTAAACCGCTGAATAAAATGATGGAGCGCGGATATGTGGAAAAAAATTAATATTATAGCCACAATCTAAGAATGCCACGTTTCACTATTTCATTCTCTCATTTTAGTTAATCGTGGCCATACTGTACTATTTAGTTCCCTTGTTTTCATTTAGTGAAATGTTGGCCATGCTTTAACTAAAACAAAAGAACAAATTAATAAGATAAGGGAGCAAATTCTTAATCTGTGGCCACAGTATCTTGTTTTTTTTTTTCATGTCATGCAGGGCTCTGTACAAAAGCAGTACTCACTCACAATTATGCAGTTGATCTAAATATCAGCACAACTGTGATTACTGTGCTCCTGTGATATTACTTTAGTATTTTACTATTTTTTTTTTTTATTGTGCACCAAGGCTCCATGATCTTTTGGCCCACAATGACATCCCTCCCTGGGAACTGGTGGGTGTCTTTAAGCAAGTTCTTCGAGACTTCCTGAGGAGACAGGAAGACGGCATGCAGACACGTCAAGCCCCTTCAGCTCCGTCAACAATTCTTTCTGCTCCCAGTCCACCTACAGAGAGTAATGACAGAAATCGCATTGTTGGAAATGCATCTAGTTCTTTATCAGAGGAGTCAGGGAAGCACAGGGAGGAAATTCCTACTATTTCTAGTTATGTGGATAAACATTTGCGTGCTGCCTGCCCCTATTCCATCCACAGAGATTGGAGTCTGCCCTTTTGCCATCCTTTTGCTTATGAGTCCTACAGCACCACATTGTGAGACACTTAATTGTAGAAGTTCAACATGTTCTGAATTTGTAGTCTCTTTTCTCATTTATATGTTTTTGTATGATCTCCTTGCATCTGGCTGATTGTTAGGTTTAGGGGTGGACCTTAACTTAAAGCCTTTTGAATTTACTAAAAATCAAAAATTTTCATACAAATCACATCCTACAAATTCATATGAAATCGCCACCTCTTAAATAATTGTTTCCTCATGAGAAAAGTCCATGCAACCATTTTCTATGTCTTTCCTGTTTGCAAATTTCCTAGGTCTCAGATCTACACACAGATCTACACTTGCATTGAAAAATCAAGTCCTGTTCTCATGTTTAAGTAAATTAGACTGATTAAAAGTGATTAACACGATAATGTATGTGATGTTAAAATTTGGAAGATGAGCCATAATCTTTTCGTAATCAATCAATAAGATGGGTGGGTTGATTTATTTATTTTTTTTTCAATAAAAAAAAAATGCAACAATTATTTAAAATAAATAGTTTATAATTATATAAATGTATTATTATTATTATTATTATTATTTAAATTGTGTCTATAGTCAGACTACTTTTTATGCTTTTATATTGCTTTATAAAAATTTGAAACTTGACGAATTTTTGCCAAGTGCATATTCATTCTTCAAAAAAAAAAGAACTTGTGTTTTATGGACAAAATAAAAGCATCAAAAAGCATATAGGTATGACATGAGGGTGAGTAAATAATTACAGCATTTTCATTCTGATCATTTAATGTTCTTAGAACTATTGCTTTAATGTTATTGTCTAACTTTAGAACTGCCTTTGCATTTGTGTGCATTTGTTTCTAATTACAATAACACCTTTTCTTTGTGTTGTAGCTTTCCAGGGTCTACAGCTAATGGTCAAACTGAAAATAGCACACACACATAAGCACATACACCCAGAGCAGTCAACCCAGATATCCAACCTAATCTGTCATTTTTTCAGAGTTATATTTCTGGATTACAGAGCAGAGATTAGCCTGAGGGGAGAGGATTGAACCAATGCCTTTGCGCATCAGTGGTCCTGCTTGCTGCATGTACCCATGAACTACCTACAGTAGCACTCTCACCTCTCCCATGCTTTTTAGATCACAATTGCAATCTTTTCTTGTCTTTTATCATATAGTGACAGAACTGTGTTTGTCATGTAGCATGGACTGAAGGTGGCAGACAAAGTACAGTTTTGGTAGTTGCTCACAGTGAGGGCTGTTCATAAAGCTTCCATCTCACAGTAGTGTTAAACAGGGTAAAAGCAAACATGTGACAATTACTTTTGACTGCTGAATAAGTGTTGGGTCAGACAACGTGAAGTTCTCCTCTAGAGTGGATGCTGTGTTTATTACCACAAAAGCCTGTAGATGCCAAATCAAATATAGTATATTGTATAAATATTGTCATCACATCTTCTGTGTATACTTTTGTTGTTGCCTCTTCTACAGAAAGAAAAAGAAACAATACTGATACTTTTGTGTAACATGCTTCATTTTATTTATTTGCTTCTGTGGAGCCTGCTTTACTGTTATCCTCATACCCATTGTCATTGAAATGTCTGCACAATTAAATTAACAACATTTATTTTGTATTTTTATAGTTATTTCTCACACCAGTGTTGCCAAGTCAACTTTTATAAGATACTTTTTTTTTCTTGTTTTTCAGACCAGGTATCTATCTATCTATCTATCTATCTATCTATCTGTCTATCTGTCTATCTGTCTATCTGTCTATCTGTCACGACGTCTGTCGTGTGGTGCTAACATTATAATTTAATTAAATTTTCATACAATTGAAAATCCGATTTTAAGTATGTCTAAAGAAGACACAATAAGGACAACGAAAAATGTAAGCGTTACAAAAAAAGCGTTGCTTTTAATTACAAAGCGGAAATCTACAGAGATCTTCCGCTGTCAGTCATGTGAATAATGCAATAATTGCATCGGACAGCTGGTCTGCTCTTTTAAGCATTAAAACTATGAAATCATGCAGATTAGATGTCATTCATGAAATTCATCAAAACATATTCTGTTTACATGAGAAGGGCTTGAACGTTGGCTTTGTTTGGGTTCCTGCTCATGTAGGAGTTGAGGAAGTTGATAAGCTGGCTAAATTGTCATTGAAACGATAAACTGTGGATTTAAATGTCCCATTAAGTAGAACTGAGGGAAAGATTATAAAATCTCGAATGACAGATAAATGGCAACAATACTGGGATGTAAGCGAGCGACACAGGTCGACATCTTTATAATATTCAGGAAAAAGTCGGTGTTGGCAGAATGAGGGGCAGAAACAGAAAAGAGGAGGTTTTGTTCACTCGGCTTAGAATAGGACATACTGGACTGAATCAGACGATATTCAAAAAATAGGCAAACAGAGTATTATAAAATCTCGAATGACGGATAAATGGCAACAATACTGGGATGTAAACGATACGGGTCGACATCTTTACAATATTCGGGAAAACGTCGGTGTTGGCAGAATGAGGGGCAGAAACAGAAAAGAGGAGGTTTTGTTCACTCGGCTTAGAATAGGACATACTGGACTGAATCAGACGATATTCAAAATAGGCAAACATCCAACAGGTTTGTGTGAAAATTGTGAGGTAACGGAATCAGTGTTACATGTGTTATTGGAATGTAGGAAATATGAGGAGGAAAGAAGGGAAATGTTTCAAATGCTAAAGAAAGACATTATAAATGTTAATGTTCAGAAGCTTTTAGAAGGAAGTACTTGGAATGTGGTCAAACATCTCATGATTTACCTAAAAAATACAGGATTGATGGAAAGAATATAATTAGTTCCCTTGTTTGTCATATACTGCTCCACACTCCAGTCTGGTATGTGGCGATAATGCACCTTTAAAATTGGTTGTCAGCCACCAATCTAAAGAAGAAGAAGAAAACCCAAAACCAAGACGGGGGATTATAGTACGGAATCATGTCATTGGGTTTTTTTGTCACCATGATTTGGTTAAATCGACTCATATAAAAGAATATAGTCTTTTTGATTGTTTTTTATTTATTTATTTGTTTTGTTTTAATTTCTAGTTTATTTATTTGTTTTGATTGGTTTTTATGGTTTATTTTGTCCTACAAGCAAAATCCTGATCCATACTTTATTCCAGTCGGTGGCGGTAATGCACCAGTCAGTTAGGTTGCCAACCGCCAATAAACACCAAAGAAGAAGAAGAAGAAGATCTTCCGCTGTCACCCCTACTGAGCTCTCGCTGAACCGTGAGTGACCTTCTCCGAGTGGTCCAGTGCACTTATATACTAGAGGTGAGTACGGTTTCTTATAATAAATGTATATGTTTTCAGTTGGCATATTTAAATTTAGCACTGACCATTTCAAGAAGATTCCCTGTCGTTTAAAACATTAACGTATTTGTTTCGGTTATTGGACCATATAAGGCCTTGCCGAGCGCCTTAAATGAATCAACATTGGTTAATAATGGCTCAAGCTTGACACTTGAATGGCACACATGAACCGCGGAATGTTTTTCATAATCTCTACGATCATTTTATTTCTGTATTTAGACGGTGAAAAGAGCTGTTGTTCTTTTTGCCATTCAAGTGACGCGTTATCTTTAAACTGAACTGAGTTTGGCATGAACTCGCTATATTGACAGTGAAATACTGAGTGTTTTTGCCTCTTTTTTTTGTCACCATCTTAATGACTCCGTATATTATAGTGTTCATTTTTCTCGAGCTGGTCTATGAATATACGATTAATGTCCTTGAAAGTGCTGTTTGTGTCGTGTTACTCTATGGGTCATTCTTATAACGTGGCTCATAACATTTGCACGTTCAAACATATGTATGGTAATGTTACATGTTTTTGAAGCCTTTTAGACAAATGTTCATGCATCCTTGTTTTGATCACTAGATGGCAGGTGGTGCATTCGCTGGCTGGTGGACTAAGGTGGCCCCCTACTACACCAAAGCATACCAGGAGATGTGGGTTGGTGTAGGAATCATGACTTTCATGTACTACAAACTTTCATATGGAGGTGAGAGGTCAAGTTTGTTGAAGAGCTCTTTAGTAGTGTGCATACTGTCAAAATGTCATAAACCCTTATTTATTTTGTGGTTCATATTATAACAATGTACTTCGTAAACATTGTTCTTGTCATTAAATTATTAATTTGTATGTTATCTTATGTATCTTCTAAGCATAGCCCATGTTCATAGACAGTTTTGTTACACAATATTTTTAGAAACTTCTAGTGTCCTGTTCAAGGTGACAGACTTGACTTTAAGAGCTTGTTAATGTTCTTATTAAATATTAACAATAATATTGCTGTTTTGCAGGAAAGAAGAAAGCAGTGCAGTCAAGTAAGTATAAGCAGGTTTTTTTTTTTTTTTTAAGTGAAAAGGCTTTCAAACTTTGCTCCACATGGGAGTTTTAGGTGTTGGTAGAAAAAAGTTTAGAGAAAACAGGTTAAAAAATGTAAAAATAAATCATAAAAATAAGAGTCATAAATAATAGATGTATACGTATTATAGTGAGAAGTAAAAAATTAAGCAACTAAATATTTTCCAAATAATATTTTACACATTCGTAATAACTTTTCACAGTATATAAATGGGGGTTATGCACAACAAACTTCTGCATGCTGTAAAACACGTCACGTCACTTCCAGTTCAGATCTTTTGCATGTGCTTCATTAAATATGGAGCTGTTTTACTCTAGATTGCTTCAAAGCAGATACTAAAGATGATCATAACTGATGTCCATCACATATGCAGATTGATATCTAGGAGTTTGTTTTCTCTTCTTCTCACTAACATTCTGAAATTAAGATTGAATAAAATGGCAACAATAAAAAAACTAGGTAGGTTAACCGATTACCTTAAAAGTCCATAGATATTACCATCAGTTAAGATTGAATAAAATGGCAACAATAAAAAAAATAGGTAGGTTAACCGATTACCTTAAAAGTCCATAGATATTACCATCAGTTAAGATTGAATAAAATGGCAACAATAAAAAAAATAGGTAGGTTAACCGATTACCTTAAAAGTCCATAGATATTACCATCAGTTAAGATTGAATAAAATGGCAACAATAAAAAAAATAGGTAGGTTAACCGATTACCTTAAAAGTCCATAGATATTACCATCAGTTCATAATGCTGTTACACTTTCTCTAACAAGCAGAAGCAATGAGACCTGTTTTCCGGTTTGGTCAGGTGATGTTCGACACATACCCCATTGGGTCTTTATACATGAAGGTATATAGCTGTGTTTTAAATTTTAGGATGGGGTTCTCTTGCACAAGTATGATCATATTTTGAGTATCTTAAAGATTGAAAAACCCTGGTCTAAAGGATAGTTTGGGGTTTCGTTAAAAATGTTTATTTCTGGGATATATAAAAAAAAATTCTGTATCTAATGTGACTTTCCTTTTCTCACAGAGCCTGCCCACTGATTGGACCACCGGAGCATCATTCCCCATGTCCTCTCTGTAAATCTTCCCCTGAATATCTGTATTTTGCTTTATGTAACCAATAAACCGCTTGATTTGGATCACACTATAGACAATTCACTGCTTTGTGGTCTTTCACTCTGTCTTTTGCAGGAAATTCATATCAGCAGACATGAAACTGTTTGGTTGTTAACTTATGGAATAAAACTATTAAAGAAGTCCTGCCAAAAGTGTTTTAATGGCTTTAGTTCTTGAATAGCATGCATTTGTTTGAAGGACACAAATAGTTTTCTTTGAGCTGATGTTTTTAACTATTTTCCTTTAATGTTTTAGAAGAACACTTTTTGTTTTTGCATTTTAGACATTTTATGTCATGTTTAGTTAATGATATGTAGTTCATGTTATTGATCAGTAGTGGGTGTTGAAGGACTGTCCAGCACATCAGCTTCAAAACAAATGTGAAGTCCTTTAACCATTTCTCAAACTGTACTTAAAAAGTACATTTTGAAATGATACAATACATTATATCTTCATTACTGGAAACTACTGAGTGAAAGTGTCGATTGTCGAACATCTGCAATATAAGAGTATGTTCCATGTTGCCATGTTGAACACCTGCAAGTAAAGCCATTCCTAAAATAACCATTTACTTTCAAGCTTCCTAACAATTAATGTGACTCATCGACAAACTAAGGCCGTTATACCTAGTTGATTTTCGTCACTTAGACAATTTTGGTCTCATCTGACCACAGCACTTTCTCCCAAGCCTTCTCTGAATCATTTAGATGTTCATTGGCAAACTTTAAGCGGGCCTGTACATGTGCCTTCTTGAGCCTTGCGGGTGCTGCAGGATTTCAGTCCATTGCGGCGTAGTGTTACCAATGGTTTGCTTGGTGACTGTGGTCCCAACTGCCTCAAGATCATTAACAAGCTCCTCCCGTCTAGTTCGGGGCTGGTCCCTCACCTTTCTCATGATCATCCTTACCCCATGAGGCAAGATTTTGCACGGAGCCGATTGATGGCTGTTTTGTATTTCTTCCATTTCCGAATAATCGCACCAACAGATGTCTCCTTCACACCAAGCTTCTTGCTGATGGTCTTGTAGCCCATTCCAGCCTTGTGCAGATCTACATCCTTTGACAGCTCTTTGGTCTTGCCCATGGTGACCGATAACTTATATAAGTTGGTTCGACGTTTTACGTTGGATATTAGACAGACATTCATCCGCGAAATCAATCAATAAATCTTAGTAGAAGGTCAACTGTGACCTAGAAATCAATAAATTCTTAGTGGCTTATCTGAAAAGCATTAGAACGTAGAACTGAACCCACATCGCAGTTTATTTGTTTTACACCTCCTCGACATGTTGCGATGCATAAAGTCTCTCTAGCAGCAGCGAGCTGGCGCTTAGACCAGCTAGGGGCCGTCTACAACGTACACGTAAAGGATAAAACGATTAATGTTTTCCCACCGGAATGTTTTTTTTACAATTAACAAAACAAGAGCAATTTGTGCACCAAGGTATTTGAAAGATATAAAGACAAACACTTATAATAACGCTCACTTTAATTTAAATAAGAAATATTGTAAACAAGATACGTGATAGTGGTTATTATTATATTATAACACATAAAAAATTAAACCAATACATAATTTAGTTTAAAATAAATACAATCTTCTACCTCAGCTTGAAAGGCCGTGTCTTGTTACAGATTTCTTAAAGAACATTTTGCTGTAGTTTTCATTGTCAAAAGAGATGCAGAAGTCACGCTATTGACATTCAAAAATCACTTGCGAAACCTTCCAAAGAGTCTCCAGTATTACTGCCCCCTAGAGGATGATACTGCAGTTGTTTTGACTGAGTTTGACATTCAAACCTTTAATAAATTAATTTAAAATGCATAAAGTTTTCCATCTCAACTCCAAAAGTTGTGTCTTTTTAATTGGGCCTAAAAGAGCATTTATATGCAGGTTTAACTCTCATTTGTAAATCAGGATGCATGCTATTGAATTGAATTCAAATCTATTCATAAATTAATTTAAAATGAATAGCCTACAGTCTTCTATTTTAACTTCAAAAGGTGTGTCTTGTTTCTGATTCCTAAATGAACATTTAAATTCAGGTTTTACTCTCATATGTAATTCAGGACACTGCTATTGAATGAAATTCAAATCTGTTAATAAATTAATTTAAATTATGCAATTCTCCATCACAACTTCATAAGCTGTGTCTTGTTACTGGTTTCTAGAAGAATATTTTAATGTTGGTTTTAGTCACAGAATTATGAGAGAAAACATGCAATTGAAACTGAATAGCCAATTCAATTGTTTATTAAGCTGATTATTCAATACATCAATTAGTTAAAAATGCAATTTTCGAGCTAATTTTCAAAGGGTCTGTTTTGTGTCTTTAAAAACACTTTAATGTTTTGTAAGAGAGATCACACAAAATGCATGTTATTTTTTTAGTACCGTCCTGAGTAAGATATTTTGCATAAAAAATGTTTACATAGTCCACAAGACAAAATAATAGATTAATTATGTCAGAAGCTTTAGAAGGAACCTATATGTTTCCCATGTTCCCTGGAGAGTTTTTCTGAAGAATAATGGACAGTTTAACTGCTCAGGTTTTAAAATGCATACTAACAAACAATCCAAAAAAAAAAAAAAGGAATTTTTAAATTAAATTCAATAGCATATGTCCTGATTTACATAATGAGAGTAAAGTTTGAATTGAAACGTTCATTTAGGAATCAGAAACAAGACTTTGAATTTGAAATAGAAGACTGTATTGATTTTAAAGGGGTCCTATTATGCTTTTTCACTTTTTCAGCTTTAGTTAGTCTGTAATGTTGCTGTTTGAGCATAAAAAAGATCTGCAAAGTTACAAAGCTCAAAGTCCAATTCAAAAGGAGATATTTTATTGAACAGAAATCACTTTTCAAAAACTACAATGAACGACTCGTTTGGACTACAACGCATATTTTCCGGGATTTGAGATATCACAAATATCGACGAATGGTACAGGAACTATTCGAGCCGTTCATGCCAGACTGGGGAGAGAGGTGTTGTAATAATGTAAAATATGTGAAAAATACAACCTAGTATGAGAGCCTGTTCTAGTACACCCCCAAAACAAAATCAAGACTTTGTAAAAGAGCATAATAGGACCCCTTTAAATTAATTTATTAAAGGTTTAAATGTCAAAACAACTGCAGTATCTTCCTCTGGGGGCAGTAATACTGGAGACGAAGGTTTCGCAAGCTTTTCTTGAATTTCAATAGCGTGACTTCTGCATCTCTTTTGACAATGAAAATAACTGG